GGTTATCAAATTTACATAATAATATATGAATGTTGTCCTAAAATGTCATGAAAGAAGAAGCAGGAGGCATCTATGTGACCTCCACCTCACCCCTATGGACACAGCCTGGCATAGGTAGGCTCCCTCCCTGGTAGTCAGTGTTCTCCCTTTTTTGATTTAGCACTGTACGCACTGAAGCCTACTGATAACAGCTCTTGTATCCCCATTACCCCTCATTCTTTTGGAGGTGAAGGCAACTGCTTAGCCTGGGTAAGAGGGTGCAGCTGGGCATGCTGCCCCTGTGGAGCCCCTGCTCACCGTAGGCAGTGCCAGCCCAGGGAGTTTAGGAGCCCTGGGCAGGGGAGACAAGCACTCACCCATGAAGGCGCCAACGTTGCCTATGAGGCTGAAGAGGCAGCTCTCGGGGGGATATGTGCCGCACTTGCTGTGGGGGAAAGGAGGGCAGTGAGTTGGGGCATGGCTTAGTGCCATGGCACCACAAAGCCCCCTCTCCCTGTGCCAGGGCAGCTGGCATGCTAATTGCTCCCAGCAGGAGCCTAATAACTCCCCAGCAGGGCCAGATCCTGCCCTAGCTGGTGGCTCCATGGCAGTGAACTCCGACCCCTGGAGTCATGGCCCTGGTGTGTCCTTCCCCCCCCCCCCCCCGCCCCCCAGCCTCACCTGATCAGGGGGATGTCTTCTAGGGTGCAGCAGGTCTTGGGGGTCCCCGGCTGAGCTGGCTCCGTGGGGCATGATTCATTGTAAGACCTAGAAGGGGGGCAGGAGATGGGTCTAAGTGAGGGGGGGGCACAGCTGGGGTGCCCCCTGCCCCTTCCTGGGGGGCAGGGAGGTGCTGAATGTGGCTGGGGGAAGAAGGCGATATCAGGCGTGTAGCATGACTCACCAGTTCTCGACAGGGCACACGTGGTGATTCATGACGGCCATGGCATACCTGCAGGCACAGCTGGGTCAGGGGGAATGGGGGGGGCCCCACAGTGCCCCCTTGCCCCTCTGCAAATTTTCCCCTCCCTTGGGCATCCAGTCTGGTGGTTGGAGCCTGGATGAGGGAGAACCCCTGCCTTGGAGCCCCTAGGATCTTGGTGCAGGACTGACTAGACAGTATGTGGTTTTGTGTCAGTCTGTCCCACTCCCGGACACCTGGGTTCTGTGTGTGCTTACGTCAGTTTGTCCATTAGGCACTTGCCAGAACACCTGGTTCTGTGTGCATGTTTTCAGGTCCATCTGTCCTGCTCCCAGACACCTGCGTTCTGTGGGCATTTTTGTGTCTGTCTGCACATTCACTCCTTGCCACGACACTTGGGTTCTGTGTCCTTTTGTGTTCGTCTATCTCCCCCTCCCTGGAGGCTTGGGTTCTGCATGCATTTTAGTGTCCATCTGTCCCGCTCCTGGATGCCTGGGTTTTGTATGGGTTTTCATCTGTCTACTTGCCCCTTGCCAGGACACCTGGGTTGTATATGTCCTTTCTTGTTTGTCTGTCTCCCTCCCTCTCCTGGATGCCTGGGTTCTGTATGTGGTTTTGTGTCCATCTGTCCTGCTCCCCGATGGCTGGGTTCCGTGGGTGTCTTCATGTCTGTCTGTCTTATCTGTCCCTTGCCAGGACACCTGGGTTGTCTGAGTGCTTTTATATTTGTCTGTCTCCAACTCCTGGGCACCTCGGTTGTGTATACATTTCTGCCCATCAGTCCATCTGTCCCTTGCCAGGCATCTGGGTTCTGTTGTCCTTTCCTGTCCATCTCCCCCCCCCTCTCCCTGGACGCCTGGGTCGTTTTCCTGTCTCTTCTGTCCTCTTCCAGGACACCTGGGTCTGTGTCCTTTTGTGTCAGTCTCTCCCTCACTCCCAGATGCCTGGGTTCTATGTGCATCTCCTGGCTGGCTGTCTTTCCCTCCCTCCCTCCCTCAAGACACCTCCCCGGGAGGGGGAGGGGGAGGGGGAGGGGTTGTCCAACCACCCCTGCTTCACTGCACCCCCTCCAATCCCTCCCATCCAACCCCAACCCAGACATGCCTGGTTGGGGGTGGGACCTGGAGCTCTGCCTCCCATCCCAGAGCCAGGGCCCGGAGAGGGGAGCTGGGGGGGGGGGGGGG